TCTGGTGGATGGGGTTCCTCGCAAAGCTGGGGAACTCCAGCCGTGTGACCATGCAGCGAGCATAATGCACGATCGGTTCTTGCAGAAAAAAGTTTTGTGTCCGTGTTGTGTACTGTAAGTGACTTAAGGAAGGAAGCCTCAGGCTCCTTGAAGTGGTAGAGGTGCAGCAATTATAACAGGAGCACTATATGCACCCTAAACCTTAAACCCTTAAACCCTAAAGCCCCAAACCCTAAACCCGCCTGCGAGCTTCTTGCAGTTTTTCAATAGGGCAGGAAGCCTCAGGCTCCTCAGAAGGTTTAGGACAGGAAGCCTCAGGCTCCTCAGAGGGTTTAGAATCGTTTAGAACAGGAAGCCTTAAACTCCTGAAGCTTGAAGCTAGAGTTTGACCGTGGCCGAGGATTACTGTAGCACTCTAGAGGCTCCCATGTCAGCCCAGGCCCCTTGTCATCTGCATACCGTGCTGCAGTCCTGGAGCTCAAGACAAGACGTGTTTCACCCTCGCTTGAAGCCATGAGCCAGAGTTCCTTGGACGTGTTCTTCGGTGGAAAGGGTAGTGAGCCAGAGCTCGACACTCAGCAAGAAGACACTCAAGAAGTGGAGGTAGTTGAGGAAGTCCCGGAGCCTCAAGAGCCTGAAGCTAGCGAGGTTGAGGCTGCACCCAAGGCCAAGGCCAAGGCCAAAGCCAAGGCCAAGGCCAAGGCCAAGGCCAAAGCCAAGGCCAAGGCAAAGGCGAAGGCCAAAAGCAAGGCCGCCGAGGAGCCTAAAGCAAAGGCCAAAGGCAAGGCGGCAAAGTCCGAGAAGTCCAGCGAGGACGAGAAGGCGGGCGACGAGGCCGTGGCGAAGGAGGAGAAGCAGCAGGAGTCGAGCCAGGAGCACGAGCAGGACGAGAAGGCCGACAGCGACAGCAAGGCCACCAAGCCCCAAGCCAAGGCCAAGGCGAAGGCCAAAGCCAAGGCCAAAGCCAAGGCCAAGGGCAAGGGAAGCACGGTCGAAGAGCCGAACCCCCCCGACAACGGTACGGAGAAGCGACCGGGCAGCCCGCCGGAGGAAAGCAGCAAGGCGAAAAAGTCTCGCTCGGACCAGGACCGTGAGAAAGCGGCGAAGCTGGGCGACCTGCAGCTTTGCAACAGCGAGCCCCAGCCGCCTGCCGGGCAGGGGGAAAGCAGGGACAACAACAAGGCATGGTGGTTCTCGAAGCACTTGAGCACCATGCCGGACGATATCCAGAAGTTGTTTCTCTCTGAGAAAGTGTCACGGGTGCCTTGCCACATTTTGATATCTAGGCTTTGGCCCTATAAAGGAGGCACCGTCAGAGGCAGCCTTTGGCTCCTGCTATAATTGCCATAGGCTTTTGATCCTTGAGGTAGCCTTTGGCTCCTGCTGTGCAACCATCTGAGGCCGACAAGACGAAGCTCATCAATGGTGCGGTTGAGAAGAAATCCGGGGGCAAGGCCGGCCAGATGTACAAGCTGAACACCGAGTCCGCCGTGCTCCAGCAGCTGAGCACCTTCTACACGAAGGTTTGTGGCAAGGACAAGGTGAAGGGCAAACCCAGAGCACTGATGGTGGCCAAGCTGGGAGGGGAGGAAGCTTTCAAGAAAGCTCTGGCCACCGGGGGTGTGTATGAGGTGAACAACAATGGTTCCTTGTTCTACTGCTTCAGAGAGATCGTCGTCACCAATGAGACTGGCACCAACAATAGGATGTCGACATCGAAGCTACGGAGCATTTAGAGGCTTATGTTTTAAAAGCTTGAATGAGCTATAGATACTAAGTTTTGTTCCCATCAGCTCAGGAAGCCCGACCAGAGCATCACCGACTCCGCCGCCGAGGGATTCGACAGCTTCTTCGCAAACTTCCAACCATGCCTGGAACCGGACCGTGCTGCTGGATGTGGCTCAGAGCTCCAGGGTGGCCTTCTGGCTTTGTGTGACAAACCGGGAGCAGAGAGCTGGACTGCGGAAGCTAGTACGAAGGTGGAGGAAGCTTTGCAGTGGGCAAATGCCACGAGGATCAGTGTTTCCAAAGTGCTTTCAAAGGAGACGGCAGCTTTGAGCAAAAGCTCGGTGTGGACGACCCTCAAGGGCCAGCTCCAGAAGGCTTGGGAGGACTTGATGCCCTTGCACTCGGATCTCGAGAAAGCGAAGCTCTTCAAGAACCTTTCGCTTGCTGAGCTGAGGTCGCTGTTGCAAAAGGCTGCAACTGGCCTGCTCGCAGCCCAGGATTTGATCAAGGGCATGACTGCCCTCATTTGATTTTGAATGTTTCCATTCTACAATTCGTCTTTTTTCATCGACGTGTCATGACACATGTGCATGTTTGCTCTGGGGATCGAAGCAGCTGCTGCGACGAAAAAGAAGTGCATGTATGCATGTGAGCTTTAGGAAGCCAAAGGCTCCTAAGAGAATATTATATATATCCTAGGTGTATGTTGCAAAGGAAGCCTTCGGCTCCTCCAAAGAAGACTTTATCTTCGGGTTTGGTGGATGTTTCTTAAGTTAAACTCTGAGGCTTTAGGGTTTGCAGGGCCATAAGTTTTGAGATAGATGATTTTTTTTGGTTGAGGTGTCTGGGTTTTCTGGAGTACTCGGGTTTAGGGTTTTTGGTTGCAGCTTTTCTCGAGTTAAAGGGTTAGGCTATAATTGAGGGTTGCGGGCTGGGGTTATAGGGGTTTAGGGTTTTCACGATATTGGATTTGGGATGTTCGGGTGTTTAGGATTCAGGGGTTTAGGGGTTTAGGGTATAGGGTTTGAGATTCGGTGGTTTAGAGTTGGGATGTAGCCTGTTCATGGGTTTAGGGTTTGAGGGGTTTAGGGTATGGGGTTTTGGGTTTGAGATTCGAGGGTTTCGGGTTTGGGGGTAACGTGGGTTCAGGGTTTTAGGGTATAAGGGTTTAGGTTTGAGATTCGGGGGTTTCGGGTTTGGGTGGGAGGGTGTTTAGAGGTAACGTGGGTTTAGGGGTTTATTTGTACGGGTTTAGGGTATTCGGCTTAGGTATTTTGGTTTAGGTCTAAGCTAGGGGCTTTAGGGTTTAAGGACGTTTTAGGGGTTTAGGTTATAAGGTTTAGGGTTTTTACGGGCTTGGGGATAGCAAGGTGTTCAGGGCTTCTGGTTTGCGAGTTTAGGGTAGGGCTTAAGGTGAGTCGAAGTTTCGTCGAAATTTCGATCAAACTTCGACTCCTTCGGTGGTGCTTTTCTCACGGGGCATTGAAAATTTTCAATGCCCGGTAAAAAAGCGCCACCGAAGGAGTCGAAGTTTGATCGAAGTTTCGACGAAACTTCGATTCACATAGTAGAAGTTTCATCGAAACTTCGATCAAACTTCGACTCATGCAGTCGAAGTTTGATCGAAGTTTCGATTCCGAGCAGTCGAAGTTTGATCGAAACTTCTACTGCCCAATCGAAGTTTCATCGAAGTTTCGATTGCGAATCGAAGTTTGATCGGAACTTCGACTCATGACTCGAAGTTCCGATCAAACTTCGACTCACGAGTCGAAGTTTCGATCAAACTCCGACTCGGAGCAATCGAAACTTCGATGAAACTCCGATTCACTGAATCGAAGTTTGATCGAAGTTTCGATGAAACTTCGACTCATGAATCGAAGTTTCATCGAAACTTCGATGAAACTTCGATTCAACACCCAACTCCCCCGGTGGCGCTTTCTGTCCGGGCACTGAATTTTTCAGTGCCCGGACGAAAAAGACCACCGGAAAATCACCCAGCCAGCACCACCCAAACACCACACACGACCCACCGCCCATTGCCCAACACCCACCACCACCTAGCACCCACCACTACCACCCAGCACCCAGCACCCACGACCAACCACCAACGCCCCAGCACCCACGGCACCCACACCCAAAACCCGCCACCCACCGCCGCCACGAGCAACCATCCACGACCCACCGCCCACCACCCGCCAGCCAGCACCCACCGCCCACGACCAACCACCAACGACACAGCACCCACGGCACCCACACCCACCACCCACCACCCACCGCCCATCGCCACGTACCATCCACGACCCACCGCCCACCGCCCGCTATCCACCACCCACCACCCACCACCCACCACCCAACGTGTATATATATATATATATACATACATATACATATACATATATACATATATATATATATATATATACATATACATTGACATATACATATACATTTTTATTTATATATATATATATATATATATATATATGTATATGTATATGTATATATATGTATATGTATATGTATATGTATATGTATATGTAGATGCATATGTATATGCATATGTATATGTATATGTATGTATATGTATATGTATGTGTATATATGTGTATATGTATATATGTATATATGTATATATGTATATATGTATATATGTATATGTATATATATATATATATATATATATATTCATATATATATATATATATATATATTCATATATATATTCATATATATATATATACACACATATATATATATAAGATAGAAAGATATACCCTAAACCGTAACCCCCTAAACCCTGAACCCGCTAAGCCTGCCCTGAAAAGAACCCTGAAGAGTCCAGTGCCCCAAACCCTAAACCCTGAAAGCCATCAACCCTTAAACCCCCCTAAGCCTAAACCCTCCAAACCCTTAGGGTTTTAGGGTCTGTAAGGGTTTAAGGTTTTAAGGTTTTTCCACAATCGCACTTTAGGGTATAGGGTTCGGGCTTAGGGTCTTTAGGGTATACCTGTTCTAAACCACAAAGGGGTCAGGGCACCCAAAGGGGTTATAGGGCTTAGGGTTTTTTTTTTCGAGGAGCACACGTATATGAGGATGCCGAAGGCTCCTTGAAGATAATGTAGGATAAGGAAGCCAGAGGCTCCTTGAAGCTAATGTACAATTAAGGAAGCCAGAGGCTCCTGTTTTGTGGCCGCTAGACAATATTTGTTTATCCTCAGCAGTCCTCCCAAGCCTTGAATTTTTTGCAGTAGATTTGTGAGATGTGTGCCGCCATGGATCCGGACATCATGCAGCGGGGAGGATCCAAACAAAGAGCTGCGAAACGTGCTGCACAAACTTCGGCAGCAGTTCCAGATCCCAGCCGATTGGCGACCCACCTTCTGCGGTCATTCGGCTGGGGGAAGATGTCTTTGCCAGAAGTACAGGTGGTGGCTGCACTGGTGGAAGAAGATGCATTGGAGCCAGTGAAAGCCGAGATCCGCATACTTGCCAATCTCGGCTCTCGGGGCCTATATCAGGGAAATCTCCGGAGAGACCTATTGAGGCACACTCAAATGCCTGCTCTTGTGAGCAGCAACGGGTGTGTGCCCATCAAGAAAGCTCTCCGGGCTGCGATCCCGTTTTTGGACCCTGTTGACGTGTTTCGGTCGCTGCAGCGACAGCCAATGGTCTTCCGTGAGTTATGCTGCAGGAACGATGGTGACATAGCGAACTTTTGGCGAGAGGTCGGCTCCTCGCACCCTGCACTCCTGCACCATCCCGTGAAGAAGATCAAGAACTACCAATCCAGAGCGGTACCGCTGATCCTGCACGGCGATGGAGTTCCGATTGACAGCAAGGACAGGTCTTGTGCTTTTATCTCTTGGAGAAGCCTGCTCTCCTCACAGACCTCTTCAAAGCTCGTCCATGTGCTGATAAGTGCTGTTTGGACTGAGCAGATCGTGGTGTCTTCCTGTGGCAACACTGTGGCCAGCATCTGGGGACACGTCGTTCGGGCCTTTGAACGATGTTTCGAAGAATGCAAGACGAACAATGACTTGTTCCCGGTGCTCCTTTTCTGACTGGTGACTTGGAATGGTACAACACGAGTCACAACTTGCCACGGTGGAATTCCCACTTCCCTTGCGGGCATTGCAACATCAGCAAAGACAATATGTTCGACTACAAAAACGTGGCGGAGGTTCCTGTGGATCCATGGCACTGCCCTCGCCGCAGCTGCTGCCCTCTCCTGCGACACCTTGTGAGCCCCAGTGGTGTGATTCCGGACTGGATGCACAGCAAGCACCTCGGCTTCGACCAGCGGCTGGCTGGCTCAACGTTGTGGGTTCTCTGCTGGAGGATCCTTCCTGGCGGAGTAGAGGAAAACCTGGACAATGTATTGCTGCAGATGAAGGCTGTGAACTTTCCTTTTTTTTTTCAGATAGGCTAGCTTAAGCTCCTCCTGTTTT